AACTGCAGGAACGCACAAAAGAGGAACTCAGCTCTCTTGAGCAGATAATACAACGTGGCTGGCCAGATCATAGGCGAGAAGCGCCCAACTCAGTGCAACCATACTGGGAATCAAGAAGTCAACTCGCTGTCTCAGATGGAATAATCTACAAAGGACTGCGCATAGTAGTACCACCTACCATGCAAGAGCACATGCTGAAACTAATACACCAATCTCACCTTGGAATAGTGAAATGTAAACAGCGAGCTCGAGAAGTGTTATATTGGCCAGGCATGAGCGCACAAATTGAAGAAATGGCCAGAAACTGCAGCAAGTGTGCTGATTTTCAAAACAAGCTTCCAAGGCAACCACTCAAGCCTTCAGAAACACCAGAGCTGCCATTCGAGGAAGTGGCATCAGACTTGTTCGAATTTGATGGAAAGCAATACATTCTGCTAGTGGACTACTATTCCAAATTCATTGAGGTAGATGAGCTGAAGGATCTGCGTAGTCGCACTGCCATAGAGAAACTGAAAGCACAGTTTAGCAGACACGGCATTCCCACCACTTTGCGGACAGATAATGGTACACAATATTCCTCAAAGGAATTCAAAAAATTTTGTGAGAGCTATGGTATCCTCCACAAAACATCTTCACCACACACACCACACTCAAATGGTGAAGCAGAACGTGCAGTGTAAACTGTGAAGAGGCTGTGGTGTGAGCTCAAACCTGCCACATCCAACTGGGTTCTATATAACTAGGCGAGGCAGAGTTGTGAAGCCTCCTGATAGGTTAACTCTCTAGGGTCTGGTGAGGTAAAGTCACCTGAGGAAGTGATGTGCTGGTAACCTCTCCTTCCAAGTTACTGTTGAGACTCTGCGACTGCTGTTAAAGGCTTAAGGCAAATAACTCATTTAAAGTTGCCACTTAAGTAATATTTTGTTTATGTAGAGAATGTGATTTTAAGTTTATAAAAAAAAAAACAGACAGTGCAGTGGTTATATCAGGTTTGAAGCTAGTTAAAAAACAAAACAAAAAAAACCTTGTTCAATTTTAAGGGGGAAGATGTAAAGTATTGTGCACCAGTATGTTTCTTGTTCCGCTGGGCATCCATAGTCATGTGACCTGTAACGTGTCTTGTTGTAAGAACCACCAAGAAACGGCGCGAAATAAAGAGACATCAGACAGAGAAACACGCCCGTCTCTGTGTGCAGTATATTACAGAATCAAACCCCAACCTGCCATACCAAAATCAGTGGTGTCAACCATCAAGCTATCCAGCTACTGGATAAACACACATTTAGAACTTTTGCTGGTTTCTGCTATTGGTCATCTTCACCAAGCAGAACTGTAGAGGGCTGTGCTGCTTTTGAATGTTGTAAAGAAAAAAACTATTGTTGATTTTTCAACAATCTAGGAAAGCCTGAGATTGAAGATCATGACTAAGACTATGATGATCCATCCTCAAGGACCCTGCCCACCCCCAGCATGGACTATTCATAACCCTACCCTCCGGTAGGAGGCTCAGGAGATGTGAAATGCAGGACCTCTAGACTGAAAAACTGTCTTTCCAACTGCCATCAGACTCCTAAACAGCTGACTCAGGATCTACCTCATGTAATTCCACGTGTACTGTTTACATACTCATTTTGCACATGCATAATTGCACACTCACTGCTGAATATTTTCACTTCACGGCTTCCACGTATCATATATTCTCTGCATTACATTATGTTCTTGTTGTATTTTTATTTGCTTCTTACTGCCTATTTAGATGTGTGTTATTGCTCATCTACTTTATATTTCATTTGTGTTTTGTGGCATTCATGTGGACGGTAAAGTAAGAATTTCATTGTACAGGGAAACACGTTTCCTAACTGTGCATATGACAAATAAACACTTTGACCTTGACCTTGGTGTAATGCTGTGTGCCACCACTAAAGGGCAGCCTTACCGTGTGCTGAGGAGAAGAAACAGGAAAAAGAAAAGTTACAAGACATGTTTTAGGCTTTTAGGCAAAACTGTGGCTCATTCCTACCATTTATTTTTTTAAATAAAATCTAAAACTACTAATATTTAGTATGAATAAAGAAGGGTTTCAAATGAATACTGTACAGAGAGATAAATGTAAGAATTTACAGTTTTCAGCTGCTTTGCCAAGACTAGCAACACAGTTTATTACACATTGTCAAATGTAGTTTATATCTAAGGAATCAGAAACAAGCGATGTATCCGTCCCATTATTTTTAGTCAACATAGGATAGTACTGAATGTTAGGAGCAGTTTACTTTTCTTGACAAATGCACAAAAATATTTAAAAGTTGTTTATTCTGCAAGTCGTCTTACAACAAACCATACACCTGCATCCGCTGCTGTCTGCATTCTCATAGTGATTTAGCATTTAAAAGACACCAAACAAGCCAATTTGCCTGAGTGATGTTTAGCCATAATATTAAAAGATGTTTCAGGTTGTTTGTCTCTTAGTTTCTCATCGCGTTTTAGACGTTTCCCTTTAACCAAACCAGCGTTGCCTGGGAGGAGGAGCCGTCGTGGGTGGTGCTACGTCAAAAACTGCCCCTGTTCCAACTGATGAGCACACATAGTAGAGGTTGGTGCCTAGCATGATCAGTATGGGGAAGAAGGAGAAGCCGAAGCCAAAGCCTCTCATGCTGCTGCTCAGAGAGAGGCAGAGCCAGTAGATCAGCCTGCAGCACGAAAATAACACAAGAGATGGTGTTCAGATCTCTCATTTTTGCTTGATGTCCTTGGCCTGGATAAATAACATCCGTCTTTTAACCTCAGGACTGACAAACCTAGCATGAGCTCTCTGCAAGAGTCAGTCTCATATTTCCTTAATACCTTTGGAGCCATTGTGCAAACAGATATGCAAGTAAATGTATCATTTGGCTCCCTGTGGGCTTCCTGCTAACATTGTTATGAGCATGTTAGCATTTGCATTTAGCTCAAAGCACTGCTGACTAAGAACAGTCTCACGTGGCTATCTTCTTATGTATTGATCAACATTAGGGGCTTTTCAAACTGTTTTATCCATATACATAAAAATATTAATATTTTTACTTTCCAAGGCTTTGTTTACAGTCTAAAAGGATATTGGACTGATGGGTTTTATGGTGTTGAATTAAATATGATCATGTTATTTTTGAGATTTTTTTTTTCCTCGTGCATTGGGGTGAGCAATATTTCATTCTGAAGCTGTTGATATCCCGGTTTAGCTGTGATTTCTGTCACTAACTGCCCATTACCCCCGCCTTACATATTCAATACTGAGGACTCTTTAAATGAATATTTTCCTTTCACCTGACAAGTCTTTTATGTGTGGCCTCTGTAGACATAATGATCAACTGAATAAAGTATTATTCATTAAATATCCAGTCCTGGTTTAGATCCTAAAGAAACAATTTGTGACAGAAAGTGCACATACCGGCCAAAAACAAATACGATGGTCAGCAGTGGCACCAATTTGACCAGATCCTGGCTGATGTAGGTTGCCATGATGGCGAGCTGCAGGAAGTAGAAGAGGAAGAGGGTCATCGATTCACTCACGTAGTGCCAGTGCACAGCCACCTCTCTGTTCACCAGTTTATTCTGATAGAGGGGCTTCAGCGTGCTGTAACGCAGCCGGGCCACGCCCTGCACGACCACACCTGCAGACAAACGAGGGTCGTTAGTGTCTGGGTTGTTTTGTTTATGGTTTAGAGAGTTAAATTTACATCATAACAACAATTTGTTTCAGAGCACGATAAACTTAATAACTGCAGAGGCTGAAGACCTACCGAGAAGGATGGGTAAGGTGGCGAAGAAGGAGCAGCGTAGTGTGTACACCACCCTGAGGGGGGTGCTCTCCAGCAGTGGAGAGTCAAAGGGAAGGAGGCTGTAACCTCCCCACACCAGGAGAGGGAAGAGGAGCCCTGCAGCCAGTGTCGCTAGAACCAGCCTCAGTTTCTCACTGCACAGATGCTCACACATGTCTGAAGAAGAAAAATACACACTCTAGTTTCAAACTAAATGTAGGGATTCTGTATGTATGTCTTTTATTGGGCGAGGAAGGTGACAGCAAGACAAAGAGGCTGAGACTGAAGTTGTAGCATGATTCATCTTAAGACATACCTGATTAAGGAGAAGAGATCATTACACAGGTGGTATAACTGACGTAACACGAACCCTTATGTATCTTGTGTTTTGCTAACTTAGACGTAATTAGCTACAGACCATCATTATAGTCATTAAACAGCTAATAATCCTGTCACTGCCTGGTGACGCATTGTTAATGGTGTACAATAAAATAAAAACTGTGGCTCTTTCAAATTGCAATTCTGATATTAAAACAATTAATTGTTCAGATATGGTTCTTCAAACCTATTATATGCAATTATGGTCTCAGAAAGTAAAGTTAACTGCAGTGATATGAAATATAGAATGCACACAAAAGATACATTTTGTGATTTTGCTGCTCAGTGGAGGCATTTATAACCTGAAAAAAAATTGATTATTTAAAATACTGCAGTTATTTTCTATGCATCTTTATTGTATTCTCTTGTCAATACTACATTCTCAATATTTTATTATATCTCACCTCTGAATTTCTTTCCTTCTGCACTCTGGTTTTATTTTGGGGTCTATTTTCTGTCATTTATACTGGCACGCTATAAACATCACACAGTTATTCCTTTTAGCAGTGTTTTTTTTTTTTTTTTTTTACTGGAGATATTAAAGATTTGACAATAAAACACACCTGAAAACTAAAATTAAAAAATGCATTTGTAGAATAATATCACTGAGGAAAATGTGGGGATTTGTTGTATATAGCAGCCGACATGTGCAGATGCAGGGTAAATCCCTCTCTCTGATTGGCTGTTCTTCCTCAGACCATACATGGGAT